TTATTAATTAAATCATTTTGAAATACATAAAATTATTGATAAAATTTCTTTTTTGATGGTTGAGTAGTTCTTTTGAGGGCCAGTCCATACACCACTATGGAATCTAACCAATTGTTATTGACTTGACTCTTTTGGAATCTGCTTTAACACTCCACCAAAGTCTAAATTAGAGACATCAGTTTCGACAATAATTGAAACAGTAGGATCAAGAATTATTAAGCATGGAATATTTTTGACAACCTTTTTGACTTTTTGAACAGCTGTTGTACACTCGTGACTCCATGGGTCCAGGTTCTTTTGAAGTCTTTTGAAAAGACGAGCACAGACCAACCTTATCTCTTTGATAAAGTCGCTGACATAATTGACACAACGAAAAAATCTTTGAAGAGAAGATTTATCTAAAATTTCATTAGGAAATTTTTCAGTAAAATATAGACTTCTCTGAATTGGAATAATTAAACCATTTTGAATATTATGATCTAAAAATTTTATTTTTGTTTGACATAGAACAATTTCTTTAGCAGAGACTGTTAAACCATTTTTTTGATTACATGCATGAATGTATTGATATGTTTGAAATGTTCTATACTTTCTGAAAATATAAAAATATCATCAATGTAAACAATAATAAAATTTGAAAAAGGATTGAAAATATCATTCATGATTTTTTAAAATTTAGAAGGAGCATTTTTTAGGCTAAAGAACATAACAAGGAGCATTTTTTAGACCAAATGGCATAACATTCCATTCGTATTGACCAAAAGGAACATTGAAAGCAATTTTGTATTTATCTTTTTCTTTAATTTGAATTTGTCAGAAGCCTGACTTCATATCAAATTTTGAGAAGATAACATCCTTGAATAATCAATTCAAAAGATCTTTCTTTTGAGGAAGTGGATAAAGAATCCATTGAAGAACAGTATTAAGAGGCTTATAATTGATAATAAGACGCGGAACACCTAATTCAATTTCAGCCGAATTATTGACACAGAAAGTTGAGCAACTCCAAGGAGATTTGCTCGAACGAATTAAACCTTTGTCAAGTAAATCATTGATTTCCTTGATACAAAAGTCTAACAATTCTTTGTTCATTTGAATAGGACGAGATTTAGTAGGAATATTTGTTTAATGAAAATCAGAATTGTATGGAAGAGATACCACATGTTTTTTACGATCCCAAAAAGTATTTGGAATAGTAGAACAAATCTCTTTTTCAATTTGTTTTTGAAGATTTGAAATTTTTTCTTGAGTTGAAGGATTTTGTAATTGTTCTTCAATTCTTTGAAATTTAATTTCTTCTTTGTGAAATTTAATATGATTTTTCTTGAAATTGATATTATTTTTGAAATTGATGCTTCTTTTAAAGAATTTATATCTTTATAAGAAGGAGGATTTGTAAATTTGAAACAAATTTCTTGATCAAAAGTATTTGTAGTTAAACCTTTTGAATTAGCTTGAGAAGGATAAATTTGAATAATAAAAGGAGTACCAAGAATTACTTCTTGATCCAAATTTTTTACAAGATAGAATGTTTGAATTACAAATAGGAGCTTTTGAAAGTTTATATTGAATATTGAGTTTTTTTATCATTAGCATCATAAAAACGCTAAGTAGTTTTTTCAAAATATTTTGTAGGTATCAATCTTTCACGGATATAATTTTGATCAGTTGCAGAATCAATAAGGACTTTAGAAGTAAATTTGAATTATTTGTTGACTACAATAGTCATACTGTAGTACCATTTTTGAAGTTGAATACAATTAATAATATTAATAATTTCTTCTTCAAACAATCACCAAGAGCATGGTTTGACAGATTTGCAACAGTGTTAAAGAGTCAAGGATATTAGCAAGGACAGTCAGACCATACTATGTTTTACCGTCTGAAACTAGAATGAAAGCTATCCTGATTGTATATGTTGATGACATAATATTGACCGGAGATAATATATTGGAACTAGAGAGACTTAAAAAAAACTTGCCCACAGAGTTCGAAATAAAAGATCTGGGTCAGATGAGATATTTCTTGGGAATGGAGTTAGCAAGATCAAAGAAGGGAATCAGTGTTTCGCAACGAAAATACGTTCTTGATCTTTTAACTGAAACATGCATGCTTGGATGTAAATCTAGTGACACTCCTATAGACCAAGGAAGAAAAGGGGAAGACACTGGAAAATCAGTTGAAAAAGACAGATATCAACGGCTAGTTGGCAAACTAATCTATCTCTCACACACTAGACCTGACATTGCATTTGCAGTTAGTGTGGTAAGCCAATACCTGCATTCTCCAAAGGAAGCTTACTTAGAGGCAGTATATAGAATACTTAGATATCTCAAAGGTACTCCTGGAAATGGACTCTTCTTCAAGAAAAATGAAAGAAAGGAAGTAGAAGTCTTTACTGATGCAGATTGGGCTGGATCATTAGAAGATAGGAGATCAACTACTGGCTATTGTACCTTTGTGTGGGGAAATTCGGTAACCTAGAGAAGTAAGAAGCAGAATGTAGTAGCTAGAAGCAATGTTGAGGTTGAGTTTAGAACAGTTGCACAAGGTATTTGCGAATGACTATGGATAAAGAAACTACTGGAGGAATTACAAACTGGGGTAAATCTTCCAATTAAGTTCTATTGCGACAACAAAGCTGCTATAAATATTTTTCTCAATCCAGTCCAACACAATCGAACCAAACACGTAGAAGTAGACAGACACTTCATCAAAGAAAAAGTTGAAGACGGAATTCAATGCATGACCTATGTACCTACAGAAGAACAAATTGCATATATCTTCACCAAATGACTCTCTCGACCGAATTTCGAGGATTTAATCAGCAAGTTGGATATGATTAATATTTACGATCCAACTTGAGGGGGAGTGTAGAAATCTCGAGAGTTTAGGAAATATTTTGTATTACCGTGTAATTTGATATAATTTGATTAGGTACCTTATTTAGATTAGGTAAGATTCACGTTTCCTTTTCCCAAAACTTACCTAGTTTAGTTCTGGACTTGTAATACAAATTCAGTTCATTAGGTTGTAAATTATACACAAGAAAGTAATACAATTAACTTTCATATTCCATCCTATTTTCCATACAATACTTAGAGAGTTTGAGTGGAAAATGACTCCAAACCTTATATCATTCTCGTCTACTTTCTGCTCCTTTACCATTTTCTTTTTGTTCAGAATATCAAAAACATGGTTGCCAGTGGCTCTGTATGAAACTTCAACTGATGTGCTCAGTTTCTACACACTGTCAGTAGATTACAACCACTGAACTATGATCCTCCTATTGCTATCTGATTACTAATTGCTTTCAATTATACACGAAAGTAACGTTAAAAATTACAAGCCTCTTTTTACACGATTTTGTAAAGGAGCACATGCAACTGCCATGGGAGTTTTCACCTTAACCTAAATTTGCAACAGTTGTACCTCCCATTTTGTTTTCTTGCTAAGATAGCTTTTTAAATTGATTAATTTATCATTTTTCTAGATCTTATCCTTATAGTTTTATAATTTCATGACATATTCATGGATATCAAATTGCAGTTCCAATTGAGTTTGGGGACAATGCTAAAAATTGTATTGGTAATGACAAAGCACCAATTGGAAATCGCCAGATTGAAAGAGCTAAGAAAGGGGAACCTGTATGTAGGCAGCTGAAAGTTCACCTATCATTAAACAACAATTTCTGTCCAGTTGACATGGGCCATATTGGAACCCCTTTAAATGCTAATCCCGTGTCAACTGGCATTGGATGTTCTTCTGAGAAAGAACAACACATTTCCTCTGTTACTTCTGCTGGTGAAAACATGAAAGACGGCCTTTTGGGTGCCCCTCTCAGCAATAGTGTTGAAATGGAGATAGATCGATGGACAAAAGAATTTAATCAGTACATTCAACTTCAGGTATGACAATAGTGATTAATATTCAAATGAGACATCCTAATTTACTTGACACTTTGTTTCTTGTTAAAGCATACAAAATTTTTGAAGTGAAAAGTAGTAAAATTTATTCCTTCGGTTTCACAAGCTTTTCCTTCTTTGGAAGTTTCAAAAAAATGGCTACTTACCACAAATGATTATAATTGCTCATATGCTTGCGTATTGTACTACACGACTGGACAGTACAATGGAAAATAATTTAGGTTATTTTTCTTCCTTTGCTGTGTATGCATGATCTACGGTGTTCAATTTGTTTCAGGTTAATAATTTTTTTCAGGTAGCAACTTCAAACTTGGTTTTGTTGAACAGGAAGAGAACATCCGGAAGGGTGTAAATGAGCTAAGTCGAAGGCACGCAATTTCTTTACTCGATGCCATGGAGAAACAAATCAACAGGAAATTAAATGAGAAGGAGCTTGAAATGGAAAACATGAACCGCAAGAACAAGGAGTTAGGGGACAGGATAAAGCAGGTTGCCGAGGATGCTCAGAAGTGGCATTACTTAGCAAAATACAATGAATCAATTGTCAATGTCCTGAAAAGCAATATCCAACAACTCCTGGCACAAGGCACTTCTCGAGCTCAGGAAGGTTCTGGAGAGAGTGAAGTAGACGATGCAGTTTCTTGCACGAACCATTGGGAAATCGTCAGTGGTTCGGGAAATGAAGTCCCAACTAATCACCGGCTAAAATGCCGAGGGTGTAAGGGTAAAGAAGTGTCTGTCTTGTTATTTCCTTGTAGACATTTGTGTCTGTGTATAGGTTGTGAAGGGTTCATTGATATTTGTCCAATTTGTCAGGTAGTCAAGACTGCAAGCGTTCAAGTATACATGTCGTGAATGCCGTATCTGAGCACTTGCTGTCCTCGTTCCATTTTCTGTTAATGAATGCATCATGTGTTGATGAGAAACTGTGCAAAGAGAAATCATGAATTTAAATAATGGGCATTCGATCTTTTGCTTTATCCAGTGGATTCCAAGTTTTCCTAGTAGGAGTCACTCATATGACATGTTAGATTAGTGGGCAAAGTCTGGTTCGATAGAGAATTAAATCTAATCTAGAATTACTTAGTATCTTGTAAATGAAACTGTCGGTTCAACTTTAATTATGAAATTGGAATTTCAATAACCATTCTCATTTTCCTAATGTTTGAAACAACTAGGGGTGGATAGTTTAACTATTCGGTTCCAAAAATTAAATGAAATCTAATGATTCTATTTACAAAATGATCAAAGTTTAATAGGTCCATTTTTTGAAATTTGGTTCCAAAAATTACATGAAATCAAATGTTTTCGTTCAAAAAATACCAGTCGAATGGGTGGTTTCAGTTCTTGATATACTTGGATCAAAACATTCGACGCCCACCCCTAGAAAAACACAACAAATGACATAATCTATCCTACAAAATAATGATCATAGTCCAAATTTTAAAATACAAACAAGAAGTTGTCCAATAAAATTCATCTACCAATTTATACAAATGACCAAAAGTAAATAATAACAATAAAACATTGGAGAAATTGTAATAATTTGGCAGGTTCGATTATAAAAATAAAATGAAATAAAATGGGAGGTTTGTTTCTTCAATTTTGGTTCTAGAATCGAGAGCTAAATCAAACCCATAGTTTCTTGATTCTAATATCCTCACCTATTTAACTCAAGAAGAAACAAATTGAATTGCTAGTTTTAGTTCGAGTGGGACTTTTGCCCACCCATATGTTACATAGGTTAGTGTTGTTGATATTCTTTCTAATATTTACGCATTTTACCACTCCACTAGAAATTTCCTCTTCCCATAACATACTCCAACTTAGCAATTTTCATCATTTGTCCAGGATTGAGCCCAAAGATTTCACGATCGGCTTAAACTGACTCCTACCTATGCCATATACCCAATCATTCCAAATAATGCTTGCATTCTCCATCTTTAAGAGATAAAACTAGAAAAGAAAATTTTATCCATTGTCATGTTTAAAACTTAGGATCCGTTTGCTTGCAAAAATGGAATTAAATTGAATTGAAAACAAATTTTAGGAAATTGAACTGCCTCGAAATTGTTTTTCTGAGAATTGTAAATTATTGTGTTTGATTAATATAATTTTTCACCTGGAAAATGTTGAAATAAAAGTGTTTTTTGGTGTTCGTTTGGCTTTACATGAAAATTATCAATTAAAGGGATAAATTTTACTGATATTGGGAATGAAATTTGTTTTCATTGCCAACAAAATATATATATATATATCAAGAAAATCATTTATCTTTTGATATTCTTTTGACTTTGTTTTATATGAAAATTGTCAATTAAAGTGAAATATTTTTTTACAATAATTCTTAGAATTTGTTTTCATTGCTAAAAAAAAAAAAAACGTGAACAATAGGTTGGAAAACCAATACCTTAAAAACCAAGAAAATACTTCCCAAGACAAGCAAGAAAATGGAATTCCATGAAAATTAAAACGTATCAAACACACAAAATTGGAAAAAAGGTGGAATTCGAACGAATCAAACATTCCCTTAATATATTTTAAATCTCAATGAGAATCCCCAATTAATATATTAGTGCCGTTTGATTTGTGTTTTAGCTTCAAATTTTGAATTTATTTTTAGATCTCTTTTGAGAGTTTGTTCCAAGTTTGCTAAAAACATGATTTGTTTATCATTTTGAGAAATTACTTCTTCAAATGAAAAATTAGAAAACAAGTTTGGTTTGAAATTTTGAAAATTTTTCACTTTATATTTTATTTTTCTAAAATTTTTATTATTTTATTTTATATTTTTATAATCTTATTTTGCAGATTTTTTAAAGAATTTTAGATTTTTAGTTTTTTATAATTTATTTTTTAACTTTTGTTTTTTAGAATTTAATTTTTTTAAATCTAAAAATTTTATCTGTTGAAATTTTATATTTTTAAACTTTAGTTATTTAATTTAAATTAAGTGAACCCTTCTTTTAGGAACCTTATGAAATTTTAAATCCCCCATGAAAAATTTCAACACTCCAATTTCGATGATTTTTTTATGATCGAATCCTATCTTGATCATGCCATATTATCCTGTTTGACGAAAGGTCAATTATGTAATAATCAATATATTTAATGTGATCCGTATTTGTCTTAATTGTGCCCTTCATTTGAGTAGTTTTTTCTTCAACAACGTGCCATAAGTCTATGCTTTTTTTTAAAAAAAAATTAAAATTAAAATTTTATTTGAACGCTTGTTTTACATGTTTTAAATGTTTTCAGAACTTTCACTGAAAATATTCAAAACGTCAAAAATGCATTTTGAATTCTGTGTTATAAAGTTATCATTGTTTTTGAGGATACATTTTCAAAAATAGCAGATCAAGCAAGTTTTCTGTTGGCCCCAAAAAGTGTTGCCAACAGATGCCGGACCCACCCGCGTACACGTGAGCGAATGTCCTACACGCTAAGACACGTGGATGGTCTAGAACGAACGAATAAGGGGCGTGGGAGTAGCTCAACGACACGGGATGAGAACGTTCGAAATCCAGCGGGATGTTCTTAATCCGATTGTACAATAATTACCAATCAACATTTGTAAATGTATATCTCAATATGTATGAACTCGTTTGTGTTGCAAGATAATAAGAGAGGGTTGAGTAAAATATGGTTTCTTGTATTGATTCTTGCGTTACCCTTCAATGATATACAAGGGAAGTATTTATAGTGTTACATGTGAAATGGTAGCCCTTAGATGAGGTGGCACGTGGCCTCATCTCCTTTATTCAAATATCCAATCCTAGGCATCATCCTTGACTTGCTAGCTTGCTGCGCATTTATTGCTTGTGCAGAACCCCTATGCTAGTGATAAGACTTGATTTATGTACTCATGATAAACGTTCCATCAATCATTCAAACAAGATCTTTATATAGAAGATCTCTTGAGAGAGGTGATCATGGAAGACGTTCCTTCATGGTTCGGAGGCTTCTGCCGCTCATGTAGTACTTCCGCTTCAGTGCTTCGGCTATCTTCACAGGCCTCGGTATATGGGCCTCGCATGAAGGGCCTCGGCCATACATGCCACGTGGCTCGGATTGAGTAGGCCATAGGCCCAAGTAGGTTGGCCAAGTATGACAACACGTAACAATAGTCCCCCAAGTCCAAGTATAGTCATTTATGTAATGCGTGGACTTTAATGAAGTAAAGCCAGTGGGTTGGGTAAAAATTGAAAAATTTTTTGAACCCAAATAATATAGTCCCCCAAGTCCAAGTATAGATATTTATATCATGGTTGGAGTTAAAAGTGTGCTGTTGTGGGTGAATGATGAAGAAGCCGAGGTAGTGGAATGAGCTGAATGTGCGAGGCTTGTGAAAGTTGAAATTGAAGATGAAGCCAAGGTGGTAGGGAAACCGAACCTGCGAGGCTTGATGGCTGAATGTTGGAGGTGAAGCCGAGGTGGTAAACTGAACCTGCGAGGCTTGATGGCCGAATGTTGGAGAAGAAGCCGAGGTGGTAAGGAAATCGAACCTGCGAGGCTTGATGGCTGAATGTTGGAGATGAAGCCGAGGTGGTAGGAAAATCGAACTTGTGAGGCTTGATGGCTAAATGTTGGAGATGAAGCCGAGGTTCATTGACAATAATTGTTCCTCGACAGTTGTGCCAAAGATTTGATATTTTGTGCATGTTTTCGAGGAAAGGTGGCTGAACCGTTGCGACTTCCAAGGCACCTGCTGCCGTCAAACTAAAATCATAATTATTAGAACAGTTGGAGCTTCTAGAAGCATACGTGTTGGATGAGGTGCATGGGAGACACGCTTAAATCTGAGGAGTAGTTTTCAAAAACTATTTGAATTCTACGCTTCGGATTTGATTTAAACTGAAGGGTTCAGATTGAATGAGTTTCGATCTGACGGTGTGGGTTCGTCCGGATCCTTTATAAAAGGTGAGAGAACTCTTTTTTTCAGAATTTTCCAGCACTTGCAATCTGATTTCTCCTCTTAGAGCTTAGACATTGCAGTGTTGAGGCAATTCCGTTTACTGCTTTTCCGACAAACTCTGTTCGCGTAGTTTTTCAGTAGGTACTTTTCACAGAAAATCCTCTTATTCTTAGTTGCTTTCTGAGATGGAGTCGACTTCGGGTAGGGAGTTGGTCATTGTCGCGTCGTTTGGTCGGGGGTCTAGTTATAGGGGGGACTCTGAGGTTGAGCAGATTGCTATGATCGAGGAGGAAGTAGATTACAATGTAGAGTGGAGGGCGTCTAGAGTCCCTTCGAATATGATGTCGAAGAGGTTGGGGGAGATAAGGGAGAGGTACTATGTACCTCATTATGTGGAGATGTTAGTACCCGAGGCCCATGAGCGAGCCTGTTATCCAAGGTTGGGGTGCGTGGCGGTGAGCGAATATTTATTTAAGGTAGGTATGCATCTTCCTCTACACCCCTTCTTCAGGGTTGTGCTGAGGAATTTCATGTTGTCGCCGGCCCAGGTTCTGCAAAATGGGTGGAGCCAGTTGGTCGGCTCGTACTTCTTGTGGAAGGAAGTGTCGCTTGGCGAGGACATGCCTCTCCACATCTTCATGACCTCATTCCAGCCTAGGATAATAGGTAAGGAGTCCAAAGGGTGGTATTACTTGACTCCTTGGGGGACCCATGCACCTTTTGTGGTGAGACTGCCTTCTTCCATAAAGGGGTGGAACGAGTCGTGGTTCTGGGTGAGGGGTAAGTGACAGGCGATGGAGGGAGACAAAGCTCTGTCTCGCACAGTACCAACCCAATACAATGAAGCTCGTGAGTCTCCCAGCCTAAGTAGTTTGCATTCCGTTTTCAGCTTTAATTTTTCTCTAACTGTTGATGCCTCATTTGCAGATTACAGTACGAGGTTCGAGTTGAGCAAGGAGGAGTTTGAAGTGGTAGAGGATATTTACAAGAGACCTCTGAAGCTACGCCACTTTGATCACCTCATCGACATGAGTCGTTATTTCTTAGACTTCGAACTGATGGCCT